ACCTAACTCCGAAACCAAGTCTAATAATAATTAGTCGAAACGATTTCAAAGTTTAACGTTTATTTTACCAGATCATTAAGTTTTACTTGGCCCGTAATTGGATACAAACATTATATCAAAGTTTACAGGAAGCATTTATAATTAATTAACATCGTTAGCTTGTACACGCCTATAAAAGGAAATTTACTCTAGAAGTACTAATTGCATAAGCAAAATTGATTTCGGGTTAATATTCTAATGTAAACTGAAGGTTTGCTTAATCAATTTTTAGCTTATTAACGTTTCATTTCAACGACGAAAGGAAAAATAGAATCAGAATGGCGTCTCTTCAAAGAACAGGTATTGATTGGGAAAAGTAAAAGAAAACCGTAAATATATTGAAAGGAAGCGTGCAATTTATATGCAAAGAAGCTAGTTTAGAAGCCCTTTTGTGATATTAAAATTTTAATACACCCCCCATGGTTTACCAATATTTTACGGGAATAATTTAACTATACAATAACAAGTTTAGCGCGTTCTTGTTCCCTTAAAATTCAGCTGCATGCCTTGATTTGTGAAACTTTCATATATATAAGCTGCATGCAGTAGTTTTCCCGAAACGAGAACTGAATCTAGATAAGTAACTCATTATTTATGCATACATGCACTCAGATGGACTCGGAAACTCCTGAATTAGTACCATTCTAAGGTCAGTTGGACATAAATAATTGTATATTTATGATTTAAACTCTTACAACTTCCCCCCACAATTTTCGTGTGTGCACACGCCTCAGCTTATACATAAAACGTTTTACGAGAGCTCAAATGGCTTCATTAGGTTCCTGTTTAGAATGTATTAAATATTAACGTCTTGCCTAATAAAACACGAAGTTAAATTACACAAAACGGATTAACCGACGACCGCCTAAATGTTCCAGTTAATTAACACGAAATTTTAACTGTCAGCGTAATTAGTTGTGGCAACATTATCGTTCCTAATTGAGAAATAGTGTAGCTTTGGTCATTGCCGAAATAGTTTGTATTCGATTAGTGAGGATTATTTCTGGGAAAATTTAAGGAAAAGGGTCCAACAACTGGCACAAAGCTTTGGTGTTAATGTTATTCCAAAAATGAAAGCGATCCCCTGAAGTTTCATGGATTCGTTAGTAATTCTCTCGTTTTTGTAAGTTAACTATTGTTTGTTCTCCTTATTAATGACTTAACAACATTTTTAGGATGTTCAGAACTTGGCACAATTTTCTTAAACCGGTAGGTATTGGCTGTTGTAAGTTGCCATAAAATTGTGGCTTCTTTAGCCACTTCCGTTATTTAAAAAGTTCCGGAAGACACAACAACGGTAATTGCGACATTTTTTAAGAAAACTTAAAAACGGCGCATAATCTTCTAAGCCATTATATTCACTATAACGAAAGATCCTAATGTTGACTTTAAATTTTATTCATTTGAAAGAACTAGACAAATTTTAATTAACACGCTTGACTTAGATACGAATAAAAAAATCTGACATGAGATCTCTATCTGGGTCGCACTTGGGGTTCGATTAACACAGTTAATTAATGGGTAAAGGCAAAAATTTGTACCGCAAAACAAAAAAAAGTTTAAAACAAAAATGCTGCAAGAAAAAGGGGCATTTAGAGACTGTCTTTACACATACAACTCATACAAGCGTTCGATGGACAATTAAATAAAGAAATCTTAATTATTTTTTAACGGTAGGCAGAGTTGACGCGGCATAAACGGACAACTAGCTCAGATAGAGATATTCTTAACTTCGTTGCACTTACCAATGGGGTTGAGTGCCACTCAATTCCTTGCTCAATTCTCCCCGTATGAAAGTGAGAAGATACAAGGGTAGTAATAACAGTAAAAATCAATTTAGATACCAAAAGAAGTACTGTAGTTTATTCCCAGTATCAAATCAAATTATTAAACAAAATATTCTCATATACAAATTTCCCCAAATGTATGTTACACTCCCCATAAAACTTCCAATTAACTTCCCCCCCAAAAGGATAAATGTCAAGTCAATAATGATCGATTAAACTGAATCTAGTAACTTTCCACAAGTAACTTGATATTCCGGGAAAAATGCAGGGGCCAAGTACAAGTAAAATATAAAGTCAACTCAGACCTTGAATAAAGTTAGACGTTGACGACAAGAAGTGAGCTCATCCAAACCGGAATTCAATCAAAAAGAGAAACCTCCCGATCCGCAGGACTCGGTATCTGTAATTAGTTGGATTAATGCCGGAAGGGTCTCGCTCTACTCGTAATTTGCCGATTTTGTAATTATTTTTTTCTGATCTTATTTGAACAGCCACTATTTGACCTCTACAAGACACATCGCTGTAAGATTTTCAATACAACGTTTCGTTTCGGAGATATCATCAATTTTTTTATATGGCCCAGAAAAAAGTACACACTTTATTGTGTAGCATTTTTTATTACAAATACCATGCACCGCATACAAAAAAACAAAAATTGGAAAGTGTTGGTTTCAACAGGATGTCGCGCCCGCGCACAGTGCCCTAATCGTACAAGAAAACTGAAATTTATCCACACTTCCAAATGGTACCTTTCAATAATTCCTATTTTTTGGGGATAAAACCGATATTAAATACCTGTTCTAAAACCATTAAATATAATTAGTTAGTGCCAATTTAATCATTAACAACACATTGTCATTAGACTGTCCCTGTGATATATGTAATTAGACATTAGACAGTTTAAAAATTATCTATCATTTAGGCAATGACAATGTAATATTAAACATTAACAAAGTATCTAAGTACTAATTACTAATTAAATTGAAGTACTTGTTCTGTGCAGTATACAATTCATATCCCTCGTACAACTTCACTCCTCTAAATTCGACTTGAAACTTTTACAGGATTTGTGGTTATTGGATGTTTAAATTTGCCACTAGCAATCCCCAAGTGCAACGAAAACATGTCCTTTGTCAGTGGCGGATTTAGGATTTGGTCTAGGGAGGGGCGCATACAATTTTTAAAGTGAATATATTAAAAAAAACATTTATTATACGTTTAAAAATAGAACATTTTTGACATAATACATAATATATTGAACAAATAACTAAATCTTTATAAACTAAGAAAAGAACAAACCACAAAAAGGCTAAATGACAAAGTTGCGAGTTTTCTTTTTGTCGACGCAAATCGATTTTTTTCTACTTTCCACGAAATTTGTCCAATATAGGTATTCTTATACGTTTAGGGCATTGTGCGCAGGTACACCATCTTGCTGAAACCAACAGTTTCCAACTTTTGTTTTCTTTTGTGTGCCGTACATCGTTTTATTCGTAGGACAAAATGCTACTCAATATAGTAACTACTTTTTTTTACGGGTCATATAAAAAAATAAAGTTCTCCGAAATGAAACGTCTCAATGTCTCTTGTAAAACTCAATAAGTGACAATGAGAAAATGTTTTTTTTTATGTCCTCAAATAACATCAGAAAAGAATAAAAACGAAATCAACAATCTCTTGCCTCTATAATTTGACCATCTTCTATGGTTTCCTCATCTGGGACACAGTGTACAGCTGCACTTCGCCCAAAAGTTGTGCTAACGACGAGTTATCCGTACTCTTTGATCAATTAAAATGTTATCATCTGCAGCTGCCAGAAGAGCATTAGGTATTAATATATTTATGTTTAAATTTAATAATTTTTTTTCACTAAAACGATTTTTTAAGTCAGTTATTAAATTATTAAGAATTGGAATTGCGTAACTACCACAGTCTAGGAGGGGGCGGTCGCCCCCTGCGCCCCCCCTTTAAATCCGCGCCTGTCCTTTGTTGGAAAAGCTGATACCTACTCGTTTGTTGTTTTTGAATAGACATAGAGATTTTCCAAAATTGTCAAGAATTCTGTCTCAAGAGAAAGTGTGTTGTTAAAAGTGTTTAATTGGTGGTCAAATATAATTAATTTGGTTCATCCATCGGCTCCAAGAGGCAGCCTAAATAAATAAGAAATAGAAGCGTTAGTGGCGACCGTGACAGGACTCTTTTGGTAGTATGTACAAAACCAAAAAAGGCCTACACCGAAATGCTTTTACGAAAATTATTGACAAAATTGAAGAAGAATTATCCACAAATACCCATGAACTAATAAACGTTTAAAGTAATGTAAAAGTATTAGGTGAAACAATGAAGTAAATTATTGAATGCTGGATACAATATTAGATTATTGTATTATTGTATTATTGATAGCCTAAAACAAAGATTTTGTGGAGAGGATTTATTGATTGAGGTGTATGTTTAGGAACTGCTCAAGCTAGTTTTAGTAAATTTCAATTTCAAGAATAACCTTTCAACATTCTTTGACAAAATCGCAGGTATCATAACCTGATCTCAACTTTTGCCGGAAATTGCCGTCGTACGATTTTCAACCTTCCCAAAAATTTAGTCTCACTACCCTGCTTTTTTTGTATTTGTTATAGACAATTTTCTTTTTTTTTTTGCTTAAAATATGGGTTAATTCGCCTGAATTATAATTAGGTCCCCATCGTTAAAATTGTAATCATTTTAAGGAAAGGGAGCGTAGATAAATTCACACTTCCGCCGCCCCCTTTGCTTATGATGAGCAAATGTCAGGAAATTTCGTATTATACACAATGAATAAACAGGTTGATTAGAACACACTCCGATTAAACAATTCAGCAATTAACTCAGTTTAGATATCGCACAGGCAAATTACGTGTGCACCGTATGCCAATATTTACACCTTTCGCCTTTAAACTAAGGATTGGCAAGTCGTTTGCTTTCAATTACTAATTAGGAGCTCTCGCTAATTCTTATTGATTATCCTTCACCGCTATAGCTTTAGGCGTGTGTAGGTATGTAAAGTAAATGAAAGCTCGCAATGCCAAAACGCTCCTTTAACGCTTTATTAACGGCGAACAACGTAAAGGTGCACGTATATACTAACAGCTCATCAGGGAATTAACAGAGTAAATCTCAACTAACGACAGACTTTTACAGTTCCAGAAAAGAACTTGATGCTGAAAAAGCTTTCTGGAGTGGATGAAGGGTTCATAAGGGTGCTGTGTACCGCAGATGGAGTATTTCCCAGGCCAACCATGACACTGAGATCGCAAGAAAGGTACGTTTAAATATTATTTAACAATTACCCACAAAAATAAAGTCGAGTTCTTTTTCGGGGAGATTTTTGGTTATTGTAATAACGGGAATGCTTTTTTTCGCCGCCTGGGTGTAATTTTAATCTCGCTAACTGTCAGGGAATCTTGAGGGCGTGAGGTAGTTAAATGGCATACTGCTAATTAAAAGCACGAGGCAAAATGGATAAACGTGATGTATACCTAAAATAACGGTAATTACGTCTTTTTTACGGAGGAACAAGTGGCGATGGTAAATTAGTATATTTATAGGGAAAATAAATATTTGGCGCGACAATTATAATAAGGATAAAATAATTTTCGCAGTGACACTTATCAGACGAAACGCATCTTTGTGTAGCAATTCAGACAAAGAAATATGTCGATCTCGAACCGGAGATGATTGTCAGAAACTAACCGTGACACTACAAATGATATTGTAGTGAACGTTCCAGACATTTCGATAGATATCGAGGCACCATGTGACGTAATCTTTCCGAAAAATAATACCGGTTTGTTCGAGTCCATTCTGAGAAAGAATGTTGTTTGCTGTATATGCAAACCGAATTGTGTTTCGAGGCAGTTCTAACTTAGATGCGCTTTTGTTATGTTGTAAATTGTCAGTGATAAACAATAATTATCAAAAGAGGGGGGGGGGGGCTAGTTTTATCTTTCATGGTACTCTAATGAAGGGTCTCGACGAGAGGAATTAATTTCTGCCAACCATAGACCTTCTCGGTCCCTTATTATGATCGAATAAATGCCCTTATCTCTCCAGAACGGATTGTCGGAAGAGGGTACTCACAAACGGCAAGTGGAACGTCAGAACGAGACGTATCTATTGGTGATGTCAAATTTTTTAGTGCAAATATTGCAGAAGGGAGTGACGGAGGATTTTGAATGTATGCTAGGCAGAGCTGGGTACTGCTCGCAAGCGTTCCGCTCGAAAAAGCTCTCCAAGCGGAAAAAGCGCTTGCGGAGCACTTTTCGAGGCGGCTGCTTGGTGCTTGATAGTCGAACATTTACTTAAAGTGCTCGACGCTCGGGCGCGGTTTTCTGCCCACGAGCGGTTTTTCCGTTTATGCGCGTTTTTTTTTCGCTCGCAAGCTCTATTTTCGCTCGTGAGCTTTTTTTCCGCTCCTAAGCGTTTTTTTTCGTTCGTGAGCGCTTTTAATCGCCCCTTAATCGACTAAGTTCTGATGCCTAGCGGCCTTTAAATGTTTTTGTGTGAAGAGCCTTCTCCCCGTTAATCATCTACCAAGGAAGTAAACATCGATAGCTTGCAACTACCTTATAACCCAACCATTTACTATTTTCGGTTTAAAAAATGCGCTTTTATCCAATATACAGGGTCTAGCACCTAAGATCCCTCGGATCGTAACTCCTAAACCATAAAAGATACCGAAAAATGTCTGAAAGCAAAATTGTACACAATTAGCGCCGGTATGTTTCTAAAATATGTTCGATTACCAGGGGCGTGCTGTATTCCATTGGCGTATCAAACTTGCATTTTTTTAAATAGAACACCCCATATTTTATTACTGATTCGGAGAGTAGTTGAAAAGTACTTATTTTTTTATCAACATGTTATACTCCTAACTTTAACGATTTCGCTGTTATAGCTTTTTTCGTCCGAATTTGAAAGTTTTTCGAAATTTTTCTCATTGAGAGAAACTAAATCGCGCAGACGGCCAATTTTTGGACTGAGGCACAGATTAAGACCTCTTCCACAATCAGATAATTTTTTAGGTCCTTATCGAAAGATAAAATTTTTGATTGACTTTCCCTAAATGTCATATTTTTAAAAAATTTCAAATGGCACCCCCCTAATCAACAGTCTCCAAGAATAAACACCATAATCAACCAGTTCTGCTTGTGTTTGGAACACTTTCGAAACGCTGATTAAAAGTCAATCATACACTGCCGACACTGTACTGTTAATTGTGAGAATTGAACACTCTTCGTTTCATTACGGCAGACTTGGGCTCGAAAAATAAGTTGTTTTTTACAAATTGGGGTTTCGACTTGGTTTTTCTCTGAAATGTTGTTATGGAATGTGTGGTTTTGTTTATATCAGTGGAGAATTTGTAGTTGTGGCTAAGAGGGTGCCATCACAATTTTTCTCCAAGACTTTTTTCGGTTTCTTTTATGAAAAAGGAGTTATGATCCGAGGGGTATGTGCTACGCCCTGTATACTTGTTCGTATACAGGGTGTTTCATAATATATGCGCAGGACTTCAGGACGTGATAGCTCCAAAAATTTGAAAAAAAGTTTCTATTAACCTACTCTACACTAAAATGCAAAATACAGGGTGTTGAAATTGAAAAAAAAATTCGGTTTTTGCGGAAACGTTTATCGTACAAAAAACAGTTTTTCCGAGCATTTTTTGCTCATAATAAGCTGTGTTGTGCGAAGGTCATAATCGGTAAAGATTTTGTGTAGAAAACACTGACGGTTCAAATGGGTGTCTTAAAAGCGTACTTTTTCTAGTGGCGTCGAAGTTAGGGAGAAAACCACCCACTACCCCTTCAAAATCTACAACAGTTATGAGCTTAAAAAAATTTTTTTCGCACAAATCATAGCTTACTATGAGTAGAAAATGCTTAAAAAGACTGTTTTCTGTACCATAAACGGTTCCGGAGATATTCGCAAAAATTCGCAATTTCAACACCCTATATCTCGAAAATTTTTTCAAATTTTTGGCTGCATTTTTGCTACTTTTTGCTCGAAATTGTTTAGTTTTGCTACTATTATTTTAGTCTCGTGTTTTCAAATCTTACCTATACACTGTTTCTACCTCTAGGTACTTTTATTCCAATTTACGATAAATTCATTAGTTTGTTAATTTGCAAATAAATAAAATACCGTACGTTACACCTCAATTGTTAATCCGCAGGTATTCATAACAAATGTAACTTGTTCAAGTTCTAGACTTTTCTATTGGTTACGAAATTATTTAAAGTCCACCACGTTAGAGTGTACTGAAAATGTGGTCTTAACGATTCCCATTCAATTCCAACCATTCGCATTCAATTTCACACCTAAAGTCGCGCGAAAAGGCATTGCCACTTTGAGAGTATTTCTGTTTTTATTTTTTTCTTTGATACTAAATTGCGGTACGTTTCGATGACCACAGTCCGGTATTATCTTTTTACACCCCATTGACCTGCGATTTCATAAAATCGAAGATTTTCCCCCTATGCGGGCACACCTTTTTTACGTTTCAATTGAAAATACGAGTAAAATCTCTTGCGGTTTTATCACGGCGAACTTTGGTATTTTTAGTTTGTTTCAAGTACCTGTAAGTGCCTTTTACGAAATTGTGAAGCTTCGGCCGTGCGCTTTCGTATTTATGTGACCAACGTGATACATAAATTTCGTCTTCTTGCATTGTACGGTTCAGATCTTGAAAATTACGTTTTTGAGAATTCATCCGAGGACTTTCATAAAAGGTATTCAACTCGTCCTTTGCGATACATTTCATGAATACGATGACCATGGATATAGAAAATCCCTAGGAAAAAGCTGTCTTTTATACGAAAGCGCGACAATAGAATGCGAACTTCACAATGAAGCTTATATGTTGTAGCGAAATATAAATTAACCTATAATTTAATATCCAAAACGTTTAAAATTTATGTAGCTGTAAATACATAAAACTGTCATTCCCGAAAGTTACCAACAAAAAAATCCTAACCCTTTATTCGGGGGAAGACTTTTAAAACATCTACCTCGCAGTATTAAATCATCATTAATCTCGTGCAAGCCACCGCGACCGCACAGAACGAAACGCTAACGCCAGGTGCACGAATTTGTGGTCAAATTTTAGTCACGTAAAAAAACCAACAAAAATACGCAACGCTCGCCAACGTTAATTAAAAATTATAATAAGACGATTATCTCATTTACCTCTCTGCAAGTTTAATTTGGGCCCAAGTTTATACGTGCGAGGCGGCGTTAATTTCAAACTTCATCTAAGAGGATTTTCGGAAATATTATATAAAATAAAATGTTTCGAGCTTTTTTCATTTTCTTTTAAGGTGTATTTCTTTCCGGATTTAAATTTTCTGTTTGAAAGAGTCTCCTTTGTGCCAATTTGACGGTAATAAGTATCTTTTAATGAAAATTTTCTTGTATTACTGAAAATTGCTTTAGAAATGAGAATGATGATGGTAATTAGTTTAACAAAAAAAGGACTACGATGATCTGGTTATTTGGTTTCTCTAGTTTGCTATATTCAGTCGTACTTGTTCTGCTTAGCTCGCAATTATCGCGTTCGTTAGTATCTATATTGTAACATCAAAGGCACGTATTCCTCAAGAAAAAACAGTAATAATTTTATAAAGTAAAATAGCGTTTAGTATGAATAATAATAACATTCACTTATTATATTCGCATATAGTCCAGGCGACAATGTTGATATCGTCTTAACTTCTAACGGCAAATCTTGACATTTTGGTGACAAGTGTTTTTAGGGTAGGTAATTAGACCCTGCTGAATATTTTTCCTGTCACCACCTCGAAATCTGGCTGCCAAAACCCCAAATCAAGATGGCGCTCAAAATTGCGACTAAAACTTACTATAAGATCCTTTTCTTGTTGTAAACAAAAATATTATCATGATTTTATCTGGTACATATACGTTTTAGTATTTACTACTATGTTATAAGAAAATGTGTAGCAAAAAAAAAATCAAGCTAGTGGTCAAAATGTTGGTTCTTTAACTGCGAAGCAAAAATTTATATTTTTTATATAGGGGTGATACAAATAAGTTAAAATGAGTTTGTCTACCCGCCATCGTTAATAATAATAATTTGGGAAAAAATAACTCAAAATGGTTCCCAAAATGCCAGTATTTTTGACTGATATTTTAACAGCAAATTATCGAAACTGTTTTGAGTGCAGAGAAGCATTAAAAACTTAATTTTACAAATAAAACGCCAAATATTGTTTCAGCCTTTCAACTTCTCCCTAGGGAGAGGGTATAGAGCGGAGGCTGGTATGTACCCCCCCCCCCCCGTGGGAATTTTCGACACATACATTTTTTTGTTTGTATTGACATGTACTTTAAGGTTTTAGGTGTTTGCCAGATGCGAATTACAGCATATCCCAGAAAAACACGAAAAAATCCTGAAAACTACCAAATATTAAATATACGATAGGGACCTCAAATCTCCGCCAAACTTTCGCACTCACTTAATCTCGTAGTTTAACGTCGCTTTTAACGAAAAACAGAAATAATAAATTTTTGATCAAAATTTCTTCGAAATTTAGCTTTTTTCCTATCGATTTTGATTTAACGCACTTACGACCGTACCGTGGGGATGGTAAGCATATAGATCGAACCCCGTCTCTAAATAATCGTTTAGTAACAAAAAGTACCAAGAATTTCACCGGCAAGTGCCCATTTTTACTAGCACTTTAATTTTTCCTTTGGCGTCCTCTCTCGTAGACCCTTTTGAACTTTTATGAGATGTTGTTTCCATTTTTGCAATCCCCGTGCCCAAATGTATAAGATGACATCGAAAAAGCGACGATTTTTGACAATTTTTTTTCGATTTTAATCGAAGGAAGGGTATAGTATAGAAATTTTCTCGTTTTGAATTTTTTCGTATAACTTTTGAAGTAGTCTACGTATTTCGACGAAACCTTCTGTAACGTGTTCTTTGCGATAAATTGCAACGCCCGACATGTCGGTAGATTGAATCGGCAACGTTTTAGAATTTTTTAGGGGTGCATTCTTAGTTCTTGGGAATATCACCTATATAGTTAGGTACTTTTTTGAAAATTTCGAATGTATAGGACCATGACACATTGCTCGGCTTCGCCTCGCACATTGAAACACGGTTCCTTACATCTTTAGGGGCATCACCGACAATTATAGACACGTTACTGACCGGCCTGGAGGAATTGATCTGTTGCTTGTACAGTATTAAGGAGTACACAGACATAAACAAACTACGGTTTGATTTGTTTTCACAAAAGTATTCTCCCACTACTAAACTTAGACGACTTAATACACGAAGATGAAAAAAATGACAGTTGATTACAAATGATACTATACAATCATTTGTTGTTAGTTGAGATTTTTTATAAAAACAATTTCATTTTCATGGCACTGAAATAAGTTCATAAAAAATATGGTAATTAAATGTACCCTTTTGTAGTTTAAAATTAAACAAAATAAAAAATTCATTTCTTTTTTTACATTTTTCAGTATTTCTTAATTTCCCCGAATATGCTGTAATTTAAAAAGGACAAACAATTGAATTCTTAATCTGGTAGGTAACACCAACAAAAAAAAGTATAAGTCATACATTCCCACAGGGGGGGGGGGGCCGTGGTCTAGTACGGACATAGAAAGATATTAAAAAAAAGTGTTTGACAGTTTTACATCCTTTATGCCTAATGTACATTTGCAAAATTTTAACGAAATCATAGTGACCGTTTTTTCGAAAAAATTTTTGTAGGTTATACATAGAAAAATAAGGTCTTTAGAATACTTTAATAAAGAAATTTAAGTTGCTATTTGAAAAAAAACTTGATGCCATTGCGGCGCTCCAATATTTTTTTCAAAACTCCAGCCCGTTATTTTCGTCTCCGTATGGCTAATATACATATCCAAAATTTGAGTAAAATCCATCGCACCTCGCACGCACGTACGCATACAGACGGAAATAGATATTTGTACAACTAGAGAAGAAAGTGGAGAGTTGAAAAACACTTTCTTCTCAAGTTTTACATATAATTTTTTTTCTAAAACTACAATTAAAATTGAAAAAATTATCGTATCATATCGTATACAATAATGAAGTTTGATACATAGCAATCGAGATACAACGGTTATGTTTCAATTTTGAATGTTATTATTAAGATTACCGCAGCAATTGTTTTTAACTTTCTTCACTAGAGAGGAAAATCACATTTTTTTCACCTTTTTCAGAGACGAATTATGAGGTTTGAAAAACAGTCGTCGATATATCCCCGATCGTGCTATAAAAATTACATCAGCAAAATTTAAATCAATCGTCTTGATGTTTTTGCACATTTCTAATTTTTATGGACTTTGTTTTATTTTCAATTTATTTTTTTATGCACAATTTGTATACGATAATGAATAATATGGATTTAAACGAATCATAATTATTTTAATACTATATATCGCATACAAAGAGTCAAACTAAGCGACATACTGTCTCAGCCATCTTATCCGCCATTTTTGAAAAAGTGTAAATAAAGCAATTGCATTTTTGTTTGACTTAAGCAGGCATTTTGCAAGCAAATTATAATTTTTTTGGTAACTTAAGGTAAACTAAATCAAGAATACTACAAAACTTTTTATTTGGAGCGCCATTTCAGCCGCCATCTTAATTTTTGTTGACTACAATTTTTCGTAAAATAGTAATAAGTGGAAAAAGGTATGTACTACATAAAAATCACGATGACATCCTTGTAAAAAATGTTTTAGTTCCCATTTTGACCGCTTCTACTTCGTTTTCAAGATATTGCGTTGGACTTTACCAATAGATAGGTACTTATGCCTTGTTCGGAGGATTCATTTTGCCTTTGTGAGTACTCCCCTCCGACAAACCGTTATCGAAATATTCACTCTTAAAGATATATCTTAAAGATAGCCGTGACCAATGAATGTATCCCCATCCCAATCGCATTTTGTGAGTACCATTTCCCGGCAATCCGCTCTTCAGATATAAATAATTATAATTGAACACGATAAGGGGGCGAGGAGGAAGACTATGATTGGTGAAAGTTAATTCCTCTCATTGAGACCATTAATTAGAGTACCATGAAGGATAAAACCAGTTCCTTCACTCCCAAAGCATTTGATATGGGGTTAGAAAGAAGGACACAGTTTCTTTTGTTCCTTCTAATTAGAATTCCATGAAAGATAATTCGTGGATTGTTTTGGTTCAAACTTCATATTATAGTATTCCTAAAGAGTGCACGAGAAAACAATTGGTCTATTAAATGGTGGCCACTTACGTATTTAATAAATACAATTTAAAGCCTCCAAAATCGAAAACAAAGTGTACCAATTCGAGAGGCCCATAAACAATAGGTTAAATCGCCAGAACATGGGCCCGTATGAATAAAAGTAAGCAAATGCTTATACTTGCAAAATTCAAAGTAAATACTCGTAAGTGCTCCTTCGCACTGAGCGACTTAGCAGCGCTTCTAAGCAGAAGGACAGGACACAGTGCAGCGCTGCTAAACCATGCTAAACAGACCAGTATGAAGGGGCAGTTACGAGTATTTACTTTGAAAATTGCAAGTATAAGCATTTGCTTACTTTTATTCATACGGGCCATGATCTTTCTGCACCGTATGGCTTCGTAAATCTTATTTTTATTAACAGTCCGTGTGGTTTTGATTTTTTAAAGTTCGAAAATGCGCAAAATCGCGTTGTTACTGGTTCAGATGCAACACTAAACGTACAAGAAACGAAAACTGTAGTAATGGGCGAATTTGACATTGAAATAACTATTTTACAGCCATTAAATGAATGTGGAATACATGTGTTACAGCTCGCTTTATAATAAAAGATTATTAGATATATAAGCGAGAATTTTGAGCGTATATTGACATAACTTGATGGATGTGGTCGCATAAAATGTCTAAAACGTGTTTAGATAGGCACATGAAATTTTTTATCCAAGGGGAATTAATACAATTTCAATAACGTGCCAAAAATACCGCGCTAATTTTTGTACGATCATATTTGAAACAAATTCCTACAGATACCCAAACGTTTCAGTAATTTTTCCCTTGTCATTGTTAAAAATTTTCAACTCCCCCCAGAATTAGTTTCGGCATGATTGAGTGCGCTCAAAGTGAGCCTCGAGGGACGTCTTCGGGACTAAGAATCAATCATAAGTAACTGCTGACTAAAGTATCTTTTAACTTAATTGTAAATTTAATCTCCTTTCAAATAAAAAAAAGGCATTCTCCGTGTACAGTCCCCACACTTAAGGTAATGGAGAAAACAAAAACTACATAATGTGGGGCTGAATAATTAACTGCGCAAAGTCTAAAGTAACTTTAAGACATTATCATATTGTAAGCTAATCTATTAAATAATTCAATAGTTGCAGAAGGCGCCTCACAACGTATGCGTTGCATTTAAGTTAATCCTTAATAATTAATTAAAACCAGAAGTATTTTACGTGTTTAGTTTCCTTCTGTGTAATTCACTTTACGTAATATAAAGCCCTTCCTGCCAGTTAAAACCACTAACTAACCTAACCTCCGGTGTTTGCTTTCACAAACGTTTCTCTTAAAGTTAGTTTTAGTACTAATTTTAATTGAAGATAAACTGCGCGAGACGCCCCCATATTAAAACAATTTCCGTTTTCTTTTTCAACAGGGACATTACGGAGACGGAGGTGGTCGTAAGGGAAAGGGGGCAGCTTTTTGACATTTCGGCGGCGACGTCGCTGCCCGCATTGAATGATCCCGAAGAATTCTCGTGCGAGCTGCGGATCCCACAAGCAAACTATACGGTACGACGGGAGACAGTATTTTATCCCGGTAAGTGAAGAGCCAATTTGTATAAAAATGCCTTTGATCTTCGGCTATTAAAGTTTAATCACTTTATGTATGCAAGTGTAGTGAGGTTAAAATATTCACTCCTTTATCGATAATAAGGGTGAATTTTATGGCACCTTTACGTCCTAAGCACACACACATGCTAAAACATTTTTTATCCTCGTAAACTTCCCGCAAAGTGGAACAATAATTAATTACAATACGAGGATGGGGTTTATATTTACCGCATTATTTACTGTCGTTTCGTCCCCTAAAACCCTTTATTGCGGTAAGGTTTAATTTTGAGTAATTAAGCACGTTAATATGCATAGTCCCATCGACTATTTAGACAAAATAATGCTTACGATTTAATTACTTCTGCATGTTTTCGGGCCAGTTTTCCATATAAACCCCGAGTAAATTGCGTTATTAATAAAACTATATATTTATAATCCATCTTTCAATGGCAGCTAATTTTACTAGCTTCGTAGTGAACGGGGAATGGGTTCGAAATTTACGGACACGCAACTTTCGTATACGAAAATTATTTGTGAGCTGTTTAAAACAATGCATTACTGATGTAGGTATCTTTGGCACAATGTAATTAATAACATTTATCCAGCTTTTTTTTGGAAAAGTGGAAGTAAATCGGTTTTGAATTGCATCTAGTTTTGGCCCTTTTTCCACTGCGAATAATTTCCATATTTGCGGTCTAATAAGAGGTAAGTAATTTATGTGGAAGTAAACTTTTCCCTTTACAGATTTCTATACTTTAATCGCAGTTGGTTTGGAAATTCATAATTATATTGACTTTAGGAAAATGAAACTTTCTTCTTTTGTGTATAATAAATTCTTGGAGTTCTATTTACTTAGCATTGCGTTCGCTATTAATTATTTAACTGAGCCCGTATTTTAATGTTGCTAGAAGTTTTGTGTATGATTATATTATTGAGGAAAAAAAGAATGAGACTAACCGTTACCGAAATACGATATGTAGGGTGTCAGTGAACAAGTAAATCACCTTTGTTAAACAATTCAATAAACTTCTGGAAAATGAATAATAAAATAAAATAAGACAAAATAAAATATAATAAAATGAATGAAAAATCTCAATATTGACTTTACATTAATAATTTCGAAGCCTCAGTGGCCTCAATCAGTTTCCGAAAATTCCCAAGAATTAACTACACACTTGACATCATTCTTGGGCACGAAAAGAAAAATTTATCATGAAAACTCTATCCGGGTCGCGCCATGGATTCGAATAAACACAAAATTAATTAATTGACAATGACAAAAATTTATTATGTACCAAAAAAATTAAAACAAAATCTCCGAAAGAAACACAAGCTTAGAAACACAAGCTTACAAAGCTTGTTTGGACATATGACCCTGCACCAGACAGTCGACAATTAAAATAAATCCTAAAATTACAGATTTTTTTCTTAATAATTCAAATAATCTGGTCGTACAAGGTTTGCAATACTAAGTGCTCTTAACTAACATACAAATGGACTTTCACTTTGCTTTAAAAAAGAATTAGGTGACGAACAAAACTGTGTTAATTAATAAGATGACCAATTTACGGTGATTGTTCGGACGTTAGAAACTTTTAATAAGTGGAGAACCTTAACGAAAGGCCTCGCTGTTCTACAACTGCTTGCTTTTTCAACTCATCAACACTTTTGTTCGTAATCGCACAGCACATGTGACACCACTTCAGTAAGCATGCGAAATGCGTCTTTCACAAAACAAATAGGGCTGACTGCGAGAGAATTTAGCTGAGAAAAGCTGTACATGCTTTTCAACCGTCGCGGAACCAACAGCCTTGTTTTCGTGTTGTCTCCCGTATTTAAGGAAACACCATGAAATAAACTCCTTTTTTATGAATTTTCAAATAAATCGCCAATCACGACGCACCCCTCCAAGTCCCCACTTCTCCAACATGAAACGCGCAATTCTTCAAAACACTCGCATCTTCATTATCAACATCAGAATACGTGCGTTAATTAAATTTCAGCTAACAATAAAACTTCTTATCGCAAACGAATAAGCAAGAACCTGCTACAAGACGCAAACTTAGCTAAAGCAACCTATCTAAATTGGACAATTTTACAGCGATATAATTAAAACCAAAAATTAGACGTCTTAACACAATTGCTAAAAGAAAAAAAAACAAACATTGAAATTGAACTTCAAATGAAACGAACTACCTTTACTCTTTATACTTTATTCGGTAAGTAATCCCCCAATTTACTTAATAAATTGAAATTTTCTCATGTACAGGGTGTCCCGTCTTTCTTTTTGGTTTTGGTGGAATTGTAAAAAATTTGGGATTGATTTATTACCCTGGCTCTCATTTGAATCATAGAGCAGGAACAAAAGAAACGAATCAATGATAAAAGATTGCCGTTTATCATAAATAAGAAGCCAGTTTGTAGGCGTCAGTTAATCAGTGTAAGAGATTAAGCAGGAGTTATTTGGGAGATTTGGAGGAATTCGCGTTTGAGCTAGCGAGGCGATCAACGTATTTTCCATAATAACAATTTGTCATTAATTCGCTTTTGGACCACTCGTCCATAGATTATGTGGGTCAAGTTAATAGTTTTGGCCTTACGAAAATTCTTGCGGGTAATTATTCCGAGGAGTTTTTCGGACGGAACGTATGAAGAACCAACCACGTAGTTTGGTCCTGAAATAATTTCATTCGAGTTTAGCCAAGGGCTATAGTTACCGTTTTCGGGTACCGCAAACTCAAACAACAGACGACGCGCAAAAATATTATAAATTTCGATACAGAACCAAATTTAATGTCGAGGATTTTGTTTAAACGGAGTTTCCTCGAGAAAACGGATCATGAAATTTAAAAGAAAAACAGTAAAAGACTTTGAACGTTGAGTAAACTCTTTCCATCGGAGAAATGAAACAGTTATAACCGGTCAAGGCCAAATTATTCTAGCGCGCCAATTTCTGTAAAAGCAAGAACTATTAAATTCCGTACATAGTTGTTGCGCTGTCGGTGATTGAACTTTGTCGTTGGAGTTCCAATTTGTAAAATTGCCTCTAGCAGTTGACAGAATCATTGATAAGGTAAGGTGAAAGCACTTCCTACTTAGTAAAAAGCTCTCCTTTTCAGTGGCGTACGTAGAAATGTATTCTGGGGGGGATTAAACAAGTTCGTGCCACATACAGTCACCCAGTGCGTACTAGAAGGGGGGGGGGGGGGGGTAAGGAATAGAAATTGGGTTGCAGGTTGCTGATGCTGGTAGTCATTTATCTATTTATTATTGTACAGGCGAAAAAGATTAGATTAGAACGGTATTTTTATTTCTTACTGCTGACATTGCTTTTGCTTTAATTAGTCAACGAAAACTTTGAATAATAGGAATATTTATGGGCAAAAAACCAATTTCGACAAAAAATTCAAAGGGCTGTAACTTGTGATCTAGTAGTCCGATCTTGGAACTGTTTATGGATTCTACAGGCCATATTCTATAAGAAAATATTTTTTTCCGGTCGATCTGAGACAATTTTTTTTTCTGGGCAAAAAAAAAGGCAGTTATTACCTTCCTTTTTTACCAAAAATCGACTGCACCAAAAGTTCTCGGGAAAAAACTTTTCCTTATTAATTTGGGTGCGTAGAATCCAAAACGATTCGTACTTTTTCGATTAGACGTCTCAATCAAAAGTTATGGGCAAAAAACCAATGTCGACAAAAAAATTCAAAGGGCTGTAACTTTTGATCTGGTAGTCCAATCTTGGAACTGTTTGAAATTATGGATTCTACAGGCCACATTCTATAAGAAAATATTTTTTTCCGGTCGATCTGAGACAATTTTTTTTCTGCGCAAAAAAAGGCAGTGTATTTATTACCTTCCTTTTTTCCCAAAAATCGACTGCTCCAAAATTTCTCGGGGAAAAACTTTTTCTTATTAATTTGGGTGCGTAGAATCCAAAACGATTGGTACTTTTTCGATTAGACGTCTCAATCAAAAGTTATGGGCAAAAAAATTCCTGTTTTTTAAATTTAAAATTCTTATTTTCGTAATTTCGTGAAAGGCAGGACCCTCACCTCAGTAGCAGTACTAAGTACCTGATACCTGTTTGTTATTTTGGGCATCAATGCAGCGAATTGCCGATCGATGCCGAATAGCCAAATCGTTGATTGCCAACACTGATCACTCACTGAATAGTGAATACTGAATACTACAGAATATTTCGATTTTAGTGACTTTAGACTTTAACCAAAACCAAAATTGCTCACTATATACACCTATATATTATTGCCTTTATTTTAAAGTGGGCGGAGCGGATAGCGGAGGGCTATGATGATAGCTCAATTCTTCTGGGGGGGGGGGGGATATATCCCCTTCATCCCCCCCGTAAATACGCCACTGCTCCTTTTGTGTGCAAAACTAGAGTCTAAGCCTGTTCATAAACTTCCAAACAATGTAAAACGAGTCACTCTTCAGTAATTTTAGCGGGACGAAAATGAGCTTTCTAATAACGTAACGTCTATAGACCAGATTACACCACGAAGCGAAAATTAAATTATTTTAATTAAATTAATTAATTAATAATTATTGATTCTTATTGTCAGTGTCAGACGTTAGACATTACTATATATTCTCTTGGCTTAAGAGCTGCACAATCTGAGTTGGGTAGGAAGTTGGTTAACAACCCTAAAACCATCTGGGATTGGTAGTAACAAAGGACGTTAACCAATAAACAATTAGACATGGCTGTCGAGATTAACGATCCGCCATTGTGTAGGTGGAACAATGTAACTGGGAGGGAAACCGGTATAGGCGACAAATGCGTAACCGTTGAAGCCGTGGAATAGAATGAGTTGATGGCATAACTATTTCATGGCGTCCGGTTTGTTTATTAGCACGCCTGACAGCAGCAGAAAATACGACTGTATGAATTTAAGCGAAATAGAAAAATTATGTCAATGAATTTAATGTTACTAGTGTGAGAGAGATAAAAATACTACCACTCGT